GTGATTGCAAAAACCCACTTAACATTTAGTGTCAATTAGTGGATTTTGCTTTTCTAGGATTGCTGTAGTCAGAAACATTTAGGAATTTATTCGATCATTTCAGAATTAACTTTGTTTAAATAAATTTCCTATAAATAGTCATTTATCCTCACCTTGATGCCACTGGGAATTATCTGAATATTGATTACTGCCAACCTGTGGATCTGATCCTGTTTCCCCCTCTCCCTTTAACCCTGCTAATTGTATAACTCCAATCTGCTTCAAAGCATCTCCTTACAATGTTAAGAAATCTCCTGGGGGGTGCTTTATATGTCCTTTATATAGTCTCCTTCAACTTCTTTTGGGTACCATTTTCTTTCAGTTTTAATGTGGCTTTGGAGGCAAGGATTCCCAATGGCCAGAGTACCTCTAATATTCGCCAAGACCCCACGAGCTTGAGCTGTACGGAATGCTCTGGCCTTGCAACTGCTCCATTTTTTACCCCAGGAGAGAAAGTGCTCTTAAAACTCCTTCCCCCTTCTCATGTTATACTCTGATATACAAGCCTGAGAGCGCTGCTGGTTGATAAATATATTTTAGTGAAACAGCTCCACCCTTTTAATTCCTAGATTTTTAATCATGGCTCTTTTTAGTGGTGTGGCGTGGCTGAAGCTGGCTTGCCAGCTAAAAATTTGAAATCAGCCAACTTTGGAGATTTCACGCCATAGAAATCAGCAAGTGCTCCTATTTAGGATATCTTTTTTCCTTAGAGAGCCATTTACCAGCACACACTGGCTCTTTCTCCGTCTCTTATCTTCTCTCCAAGACTCTGCTTGGGACCATGGAAATGGGAAAATGGTTGGACTGACAGGATGATACACTTTCTCAATCCTGACTCTGGACTTTAAGCCTTAAAATCTTTCCTTAGAGCCTCTCCCCCTCTTCTAGGGAGGCTCAGGCTCATAGGTTCTTAATGAAAACAGAATCCATGTGGGTCCCTCTACCCAAGCAAAGGTCCCAGGCCCTTTCAGCCCCACACATGGAGTTAACACACTTTGGGCTATAAGTCTGATATTGTTAGACTCTTGGCTCCCTTAGGAAGATAGATACAGGGATCTTTTTGTGTATCATCATTCTCAAATACATATTTTTGAATTTTTCAGACATGCATTTAAAAAAAAAAGTTTAGGATCTTAGTTTGGGATAATCATTACTAGCTGCAATGTATCATTTACCAACTTACTGATTGCTTTCTCCTCAAGTGCCTCCCATATCCCTACTGACTATGTCAGGGCAATTGAATACAATGAAGAAATCACTTTAATAGCAATACTTGGGTACTGGAAAAGAAATAGCTATTTCTACAATAAGAATGATTTGATGTAACTTAGTTCTTTTTAGCTAATCAGTAAGCTTCATTTCTTATGCCATGCCTTCAGGTATTAAAAGAAAGGCTCAAGTGTTTTATTTAAGTTAAACTAATTAAAACCTTAAAAAATTCAATATTCCAACTTTCATGACCTCAGTTAATACCTTAATTGCATTATGTCACTCTTTAAAATGAATTAAACTCCAAAGTATTATAGTTACAAATTTCTTATCAATCTTACCCAGACTAGCAACATAATAGGGTTATTAAATTAAGGTTAATTAGAAGAAATACCAAGGTTCCTATGATTTATTTATTCTTTTTAAAAAGCAGAATAATTTCCACTACTTACTTTATATGTATTGTAGAGTATAAAGCAATCTCATGCTTCTTCCCAAAGGGCAGGTAGTTGAAATCTGAACACTTTCACCCACTTAACTAGCACAGCACAGGAGACATCTGTGCATATAACCTCCTATGTCCATAATTATTAGCATCTTTCAAAAATAAAAATTAGTGTATCAGCAATATCTTAATACACTAAAACAATGTCTTGATACATAAAACACTGCATGTTTTTGACAGATTAATTGAACAACCTCTCTGTGCAAGGCACTGTGCTACATAAGAGGGGTTAAGTGATAAACTAGACTGTTCTTGTCCTCATGGGGCTCCTGTCTTGGGGAGGATATAAACATATAATCAAACTGCTGTAAAACAACATGTGAAGACATTGAATGTACAGAGAAGGATGCTTATCTGCCTGGGAAGCAGAACAAGACAGTTTACCAAAGTCTGTGCATAACTGTTTCAGCCACTGCTTTATTTGGGCTCAAAGCTATTTCCACGCCTTGTAAACTGAGATGTATAGATGAAAGATGTATGATCAGTGTGGACCATTAGCCACGTTCTCCTATTCTGATTCTTCTCAGTTATTGAGCCATCACCAGTGAAAATCTGATTGGAGCACTTGGCTCTGTGCTTGATACCATTATTTTCCCTCAATTTATTTGGAATAGCGCAAAAGTGATGGTCTAGTATGTGTTCTGATAGCCCCCTCCCCAAGAGGTATGCTATATAGTTATATTAAGTTACCTCTTAAGAGTTCTTTGTATTCAGAATTATAGCTCCTGACTTTTCAAAATTATCCTTTGCATACATTTGCCTTCCTTATAAGATGAAAAGTGAACTTCATCCTGACATGAAGACTGATCATATAATCTACATTTAAAAGTAACATACTTCTCTCAAAATAACTTTTCAAAAATAAAAAAAAAAAAAAAATCCCACACAGAAAACTTCACTATCCACAGCATGTCCTCGACCCTTAGAGTAGGACTTATAGGTAGATGTAGTTGCAGACACTTAATGATTGACCTCTCTCCCTGGTTGTTCAGACAGTAAAGAATCTGCATGCAATGCAGGAGATCGGTCGGGTTCAATCCCTGAGTCAGGAAGATCCCCTGGAGAAGGAACTGGCAGCCCACGCCAAAACTCTTGCAGGGAGACTTTCATGGGCAGATGAGACTGACAGGCTGCAGTCCATGGGGTAGCAAAGAGTCAGACATGACTGAGTGACTTTCACTTTTTCACTAGTCGCTTAGATGGTAAAGAATCTGCCTTGCAGGAGACCTAGGTTCGATCCCTGGGTGGGGAAGATCCTCTGGAGAAGGGAATGGTTACCCACTCCACTATTCTTGCCTAGAGAATTCCATGGCCAGAGGAGCCAGACAGGCTACCCTGCTAGTCCACAGGGTAACAAAGAGTTGGACATTACTGAGTGACTAACACTTTTAAAAAAGTTTTTCACTTTTTCAGAGGATAATCCAGAGGAAACCTACAAGGTGCCCTGGCAAGTCTTCAAGTTTGAAAAGTGATTTTTTTTTTTCTTCTGCTAGCAGCTTATTAACTTTGTTAAGATTTTAAAAGGAAATAATTTTGAAATAGCAGTTAACAAAGATCCAAATGACTTCCAAAGAGAACTGGGTGGTGAGGATCATGATACACTGGATGCGTTTCTGAGGGTGACTTCAGAATCAGCTACTCAGGAAACTTTAAAAAGAGAATTTATACCCTTTTAATAATGTCATAAATAATGGTAGCATGATGTGGGGTGGTCCTTGAGGAAATGTGGAGTGACTGCTCAAGCATTCTTCAATTTTGAAATTCTATGATAAATGAATCTATTTTTCTTAAAACTGTTCAGAACAAGGCTCAGGGTTTTCAATTTAAGCACAGGTTTATAAAAATTTATTTGGTTACTTCTAACACCAGTTAGCAAGCTTAAGCAAGGCAGGCATCTGGAAATCATTCTCAAGTTAGGGGTCAGGCCTTGAACAGGCTGGTTTCTGAACCTCAGGTTGCCACATGAACTTCAGCAACACCATAAATGTTGCCGGATGGAGAGAGTGCCATGACCCAATTTCTCCACACACATGTTCCATTTACTTTACAACCTCCAAGCCTGATAAATAAGGAGTGCTTCATCCTGTTTTCTGGGGTGGCGGTGTTTGCCATGCAGGTGGAATACAGGCAGATAGAATTTCATACCGTGCTAAATCACAGCATTTTGAAAAACTCGGGGCCTTGCAAAAGGCCATATCTCAAAAAAGTTACTGCTTCAAATAAATGTGCCATTTTATAAAATTACACCTACTGTATCAGAAAAAAAATGTTCTTTCATGTGAGTGACATTTATATGACTGTCATTTATACGGAATAGGACATTCTCACACAGCAAGGCTGAAGAATTGGTTTGGAAAACTGAGAGTATTCTCTGAATGATAAAAGTGGTGCAAGTCCAAGATAGTCAGTAGAAAAAGACTGTCTCTCCACAACTGGGTATTTTCCCTAAAAAAGTGAAACCTGCATTATTATGAAGAAATAAATTTCTTAGTTGAACGTATATCACTGATGAAGTTTTCAATGTATTTCAAACCTGCAAGCATCTTTAGTCATGGGTTTTTACCTTGTTAGAGGTGGATTTTGTGGCTACTCTGTTCCAGTAGTCTTTTATTTTACTGTGTGGAAACTGAGGCTGAGGTATTGAACTTCTAATTCGAACTAAGAATAGAATTCTCCAGTCCCACCCCTGCCCTATTCTCCATCCAGTTGACTTTCCTTTAGACCAGTCATCTTCTAAAGAAAGTTTTAAAATTACTATCCAGAAGGGAAAAGCACCTTCCAACTGCCTCTGGACAAACAGGGAACCAAAGGTTTTATTTACTCTTCTCATGGGTTACATTCCAAAGCCGCATTTCTCTGGAAAAACAATTGCTAAAGATCAAGGATGGAAGCAGTTGCAAATCTCAGGACGCATTTTCAGCCCTTGGCCAAGAAGTGTACTCAGATCTGAGACTACCTTTAACTAGAAGTAAGATACAGAGAGTAGTCCAAAGCCCTAAGTCTTCCTTCTTAGGGCTCCTCTGCACCCCGAGGAAGCAAGAGAGAAAACTCCGGGAAGCAAGCCTCTTGCTGAATTACTTAGCTCATCCCGCCACACCCTTGGGTGGTCTTGCACCTTCTTCCCAGGGCGAGCAGGTTTGCGGAGCGGAGTCCTGGCAGCAGGGATTCGAGGTGGGAAGAAGCTGATAAGGGAGGGGAGCCCTGTGGCGAAAGGTACCAGGCGTAGGCCGGCAGCAACATGACCCACCTGCGGGAGAGGTGCTTCCGAAGCGGCCGTGGTCCAGCGCCGCTGCGGCAGGGTGCAAGGAGGGCCAGGCTGGGCGGAGACGCGGCTCGGTGCTCTAAGCTCCGGCGCCTAGCCACACTCGGTTTAAGAAGCTCCAGAGCGGAGGGAGGGCTCGCTAGATTGCGCAAGAGAAGCGGTGAAGAAAGCGCTTCCAGGAAGAGTTCAAGCTGGGAATCCCAGACAGCTGGGAGGACCAGAAATTCCGGTGCTGCCGCCGCTGCTGTTGCTGCGGAGGTTGACATTGATCTCGGGCCAGTGGAGTTTTTAAAGGATTTTCCCCAGACCCTTTGGGATCTTGTGCATCCCAGGCAGATTGAGGCTTGGAGAGGCTGAGGAGGACCCCTTTTCTGAAGGAACCAGAGAGGCTGCTTTGAAAAGCTGAGAAAATACCCCCTGGTTTTGGTTTCTAGGCATTTCCCCCTGTGCCATAGTGTCTTAACTCAGAGGTGACATCTTTCTCCTCTACCGGGAAACCTTGGGTTTGGAGAGCGGGGGGCATAGATTGGATGATCTTGAATTTGGAGGTCTTAATTTAGGTACATTAAATGGTTCAAAGGAAACAAACCAAGTAAGAGAGAGGGATGGTAATGAGGATGCCAATGTGTGTCTATACTTACATAATATTGGATAATAATGGTGCAATTATATATATTGGACTGATAGGTCTCTCTACTTAGAAAGAGCTCAAGAGTCACACCAGTGATGGCTTAAAATTTAACTAACCATATCATCTATGGGGCAAAGCACAACTACACTCCAAAATCCGGTAGTCTAGAGCCCAGAGCCTTTTCAATCTGTCTGTCACCCAGTCGCTGGTCTTAATGATGTGCTTGCCCAGGGTAAGATGTTCAGCCACATGGGGGTGGGGGGCTTTTCCCAGCACTTTTGAGTCAAATCCCTTTCTGCCTGGACTGCGACTCTCCCCAGAGCACCACATGGAGTCAGGTCAGACACCATGTCTTCCAAGAGGTCTTCTTTGAGCCACTTGTTCTAATTAAGCTTTTCTTTCTCCATACAGTGTAATTTATTCTTCTACTACAGAAGTTAGGATAATTTGCCTCTTAAGAAAATTATTGCATATCTCCTTTCCTGGTCTGCAAGCTTCAAGGGTTGACACTCTATTCTTTTCAGCCTGGAATTCTCCACCACACCTAGCACAGGTAGTTGGCATATAATAGGCACTCAACATTTATTGCACTCATTAGTAAATCTACCGCCAGTTATATTTTGCAGAAGGCTCATCAGGTAGAATTCTTCGGGGATGGAAGAACGTAAAAAGGTATTCATTGCTTTTATAGCATCTGCTTTTCCCAGTCTGAAGACTCACAGGGTGAGAGAAGGGTGTAGCAAGGAAGGAAGGCTTCCTTCTGTATCTCTAAGAAGCCTCATAGTTGATCAGCACAGTTGCTGTGACTTGCTCCTGGTCTAGCATCTGGGATTAAGCCTTGTGGGCACAAAAACTCGATTCTTAGCACATTGAACCTGGTACTTAACAATTAGAATGCTGATTTGTTAGTGGTCAGTGGAGTATAAAGTAAACAGTGTGAAATATGGTTGCTATGGGCACCAGACATTGTGGCCACCACATGGTCTCCCAGTAGGCACATCCCATGGAGGCCGTTTTATATAAAAGGTTGTTCCATAAACAGGGGAAGTAAGTTGTAAGATTGCAAAATTGCTGGCATCTAGCCTTTCACCAGGTGGTGACGTACATGCCACCAGAAGCAGACAGCTGGTTTCTGGGCAGTGTTTGGATCCTTGCTAAGTTGACAAAATAGAAAATCATATTCACAAGTGCAGCCTCCCATTAATAACTGAATCATTTCTTTAGATGATTAGACAATCATTGCTTTAGATAAACATTATTAGATGGACAAAAAATTTTGAAGCCCAATTTTTATTACAGGCAGATATATTTCAGTTATATAAGCTGTTTTCTTTGCCAAAGGCAACTCCCCAGAAAGGGAAGATTAAAATGACTGGAATATGAAAGATTTTTAAAAAAACTATCTTTATTAGTACCAAATTTAAGAGATATTTGACTTATTTATCTTGTGGTTTAAGAATTGATTTTTTCCCTTGGTCTTAGGAGGGACACACAGTTCCTAAGTCTCCGAGTCTTTCCTTAAGCCTTTACTGTAGGGCAAAATTAAGCTTCCAAAGATGCCAGGCACTGGAAAACCCGAGAATTTTTCCCTTGGCAGGATTCACCCTTCTCCCTGTAGCATTATCATTGGAACTCCAGATAAGCCTTCCCAGATGTTGCACACCATCAGAGAGGTCCTGTTCAGAGATTTCCATGGGGAATGTGCCCTGAGTCTTTCCTGTTATTTCTTCTCCTGCCAGCCTACTACCTCCATTTTTCCACATGGCAGAACTTAGGAAAATTGATGAAGTAGAGCTAGAGCTAGTGTTCATTAAGTGTTATTAAGTGATTGGATTAAAGTGTGTCATTAACATCTTGTATCTCCTTTTTTCTGTCATTTTTCTTCTTTTTAGGGACCCTCTTCTGTGCAGCTCCAGGTCTTACCCATTTGTCCCTCTTCCCTATTGTCTGTGCTCATAGTATATATACCACACACATTTTTGTGGGGTAGGGCTTTCAACACGTGCAGGCCCTAGATGTTATTGACTTGATAGCCTATCTAACCCAAGAAGGCAATGGCACCCCACTCCAGTACACTTGCCTAGAAAATCCCATGGACGGAGGAGCCTGGTAGGCTTCAGTCCATGGGATCACTAGAAGTTGGACACAACTGAGTGACTTCACTTTCACTTTTCACTTTCACGCATTGGAGAAGGAAATGGCAACCCACTCCAGTGTTCTTGCCTGGAGAATCAGAGGGATGGGGTAGCCTGGTAGGCTGCCGTCTATGCGGTCGCACAGAGTAGGACATGACCAAAGCGACTTAGCACCAGCAGCCTATCTAACTAGCATGTATTAAGGAAATTTTGATCAGCTTAAAGATTTATCTTCTAGCTATTTTGAGGGAAAAAAATTTGAAGAACCCCTCGGGATGTCTCTGCCTACTCAAAGGAATGAGTCTCAAGTTGGGGATTGCAAGCACACTGGGAGATAGTTTTGAATATGAGTATAATGATTTTTTATTTTTTTGTTTGCTCATCATTCAGGGCCAGGATGAGGGTGAAGTGAGTGAGGAGTTTGGGGCAGAAAATTTGAGGAAAGGCTCACTGTCAAAACCAAACTTCCATAAATTAAAAATGAGTGTCTGATTAACTTAAATTTTGCCCTCTTGGTGCATCTCTGGACTCCTCTTGTCGTGGCCTTGCAGAATCCATTTCCTTTCTGCTAATCATAGACCCATTTTTTTCTTTGAGAAACACCCTTGCACAATCCCTTGTCCAGTTGGAAGCGGTAGCACTGCTGGGATTTCAGGAATAGACCCATTACTTAGGTTTAGCTGATAAACAGCAATTGGCTCAGTGATTACCTAAGCTGGGCCGATAGGAATCTTTCCAGAGGGTTGTTGAGCTGCTAGAATGTAAACCTGGGTGGCTGTGAAGAAAGAGTGAGCCTGAGAAAGCAGCCACTTCCAGGGAAAGGAGAGCAAAGAGAGGGAAAGAGACAGATTTCTGAGGTTGCTGGAACTTCATACCGCTGGGTTTTTCAGTTACAAGAGTTGATATTTGGGTGTTTGCCTAATACAATGGGATTGGGTATGATGAGAAGGTCACCTGATCAGTCTTGCTTCTCCAGTCATACCACATGTTTAAGGTGCTTTCATCACAGAAAAGGATGACATTTGTTGTTTTGGAAAAAAGCTTCCAAATTTTCTTGTAGCAGATCTGGGCCATGGGTAAGCAATCAATCTCTGTGGTTGACACTTCTAGGCTACTTCCCGGTGGACTTGGAAATTTAATTTCTTGTCCCAGCAAATTTCTTTTTCTACTCTTTTCCTACTTTTCCAGGAAGTGAGCTATCCACCCCACCCCCCGGAACTATAAAACTGTAAAGGGTACAGTAAAGAAACCCACACCATGGACCTGGTTTTAACTTATTTTTAGGATTCCTGCCAACACAGAGAAGGAAGCAAACCCAAACATTTTGCCGCCCACTTGTACCCAAAAAAAGTCCTGATGGGAAAATATGCCAGACACTGACAATAGCAGAGACTGAGCTAGGAGATGATGTCAGGAATGACAATAAAGAATTTAAAAATAAAACATGCCCTAAAGAAACTCTCACTAGAAATTCAAGAGAAGGTATAAGTGGAAGAGTTGTGTGTGTGAGATGAGTGAATAGTAATATTTTTAAAAGTCCCTGACTGCGGGTGAAGGGTGGCTACTTCTGGGAATTAGAAATGGGCAAGAAATCCCAGTCCCTTTTATCCGGGTCTCTGATTCTCCAGGTCACAAAGTCTGTGATAATGTCGGAGATTCCAAGGCCACCAACAGGGCCGTGAGCAGATCATCCCCAGTAGAAATCTGGATGTGGGCCAAGCCACACCTGCTGACCTTAGAGGTGGTCAATTATTTGTGACACTATCAAACAACAAGATATTCAAAATAGTTTGAAGAGATAGGGAAACTTTCAAGTTGAGTTATGTTTTGATAAATGACACCGTTACTAACGGAGATGTTCTTTGGTAATCCTAAAACTGAAGATAAGATGCCTCAGTTTCACCCCAGCCTCCCAGTAGACATGCTGATTTATAAAGCTGCAGGAAGAGCTCTGACTCAACAGAGGGTGGTGACTACTGTTAGAACTGCAGGTATTATTAGTTAAGACGATTCCAGTCCAGTCAATCTATGCTTGGTGCCAGTAAAGGCAGGTTAGTTGGATTTTCAGTTGCTAAAGAGAAGAAAAAGATTCAAGTGCATTTAGCTTCATCCATTGTCCTGTGCACCTTCAAACAAAGTTAGCAATGAGTCAATCATAGGAGGAAAAGAAAAGGACAAGAAGAGCTAAGATATTAAGTATATTTTTATTTTTGCATATTTTTTAATATTTGTAAGGATAAATTACTTATAAGAGTTATTTTTCTTGGAATAGCCTTAAAGATAACTCTAAAACGTCCTCTG